TTTTTAAAATCCAATGTGTGGATCACATAATATTTCAAAAATTTTAACTTTTGAGTATAGATGATCCGCACTGTAGTTCTAAACAGAGTTCATTAATTTCGAATCCAATTCTGAATCCAATTTAAATTCAATTCCGAATCCAATTCCGAATCATTAATCCATTAATTCATTTAAAATTGAGCCGCGTTTTTACCTGAAGATCTACTTTGTTGATACTTTATTAACATAAAAAATTACACAAATTTTGATATATATTAATATGAGGCAAATGATAAACGTATTAACCCTTTTTATTGAAAAATTCGATAAATATGGAAGGTTACATACATCAAAACTATTAGCTAGAAATTTATTATATGTTAACAAACTTACCACCAAAGTACCCTTTTGGGATCGCTACTTGATTAATTCGCATCTATATTACGTATTAGTATGTGTAAACCAGCTAAATTTTTGTTTTTGATTAATTTTTTTGGAAGCTCCCAGGACTTGGGTAATACATGAATTTCATAATTTTCAAGAAATTTCTTCGCAACATTTTGCTTCCATTGAGACGTTCTTTTGGTATATTACCATGAATGAACTCTTGATGCGAGACAATTGTTTATAAGATGATTTAAAAAGCAAGCTTGCTAATTCCCAGAATACTTTTCGACAAAGAGATGTATTGTGATCTCAACAGTAAAGGTCCTTTTATTAAATTGGGTTTCTTTTTAAGACGTTTTATAAAAAAAGCGGGTTTTTTATTATTCTGAATAACCGTACAATAAGACTCCCAAAGACCTCCTCTGCGGGCTTCGTTGTTTTTTTAAAATTTTATCTTACGCTCTAGATATGAGACTTTGTATTTTAAACATCATATAATTTGCATGGAAATCTGGTTTCTTTTTTTGACAAGTTTAACAATTTTTTTAATCTTCAAGAATTACTTTCACTTTGGTGTTCAACCAAAAATATCCTCCTTTTCATAATAACTCGTTATTTGCTAAGCGTTTAAATTTGAATTACCACGTGATTCCCTACTTGATTATTTTAAAATGACCAATAAAAACTCGATTTACATAAAAATGAATTCCAAGGAAAATTTTTTTAAAAAAGACCCTTTTCAACAAAGACTGATTGTTAAACAATACACGAAAATATTTATTTCATTTAAACAAAAAAGCAATTATTAAAATCATATCAATTATATTTATTTATATATTATGGACGAAGGTAAAAAACATGGTTCTTTATAAATTTTTCATTTTCTTCTTTATAAATATTACATCTTTCTTTCAATATTATTTAAGACGTATGTCGCGTTTGTCGAACTGAAAGTAGTGTAGATCATCCATTATTTTATCCTTGTAAATGTTCTGGCAGTATTAGATATGTACATCAAGACTGGTAAATTTTTATGAACTTTAACTTTTTATAACTCTTATTGTCTTATATATATTTAAAAATAATGATTTATATCGACCTTTTTATATAACTTTTAGTTTGACGAAATGGTTAAAACACAGTGGAAAAACGTAATATATATATATATATATATATCTTTTTTAAAAAACAATTTAAAATTAATTCTTTTGAAAAAATTTTTTTTTTAGAAAATGTGAATTATGCAATCACTCATTTTCATTTTCACCAAGTAGGTTTTAAATGAATCTTTTTTTTAGTAATCAAGTTTCAAAATTTTTTATAAAATACTTATAAATATATATATATATATATTTAAAAAAATAATACATAATATACTTAGTATATGGAGAAGATGTTCCCGAATTCATTCCAGTTTTATTGTTCTTTCGACGTGGTGTTCACCATTTAATAGGACTTGTTAAAATAGGACTTCGTGCAATGCTTGTAGGGTCTGTTTGGTTGATTTGTTTACCATACTTTACTGTATGGGTATGGAGATTTTATTTTTGGAGTGGAGAGTACATAGCATATAGAATTAATGGACAATATCCACCATTTAGAGCAGAAAATGGAATAAATAATTCTACAAGAGAAGAAAATCCATTTTCAATATTATATTTAAAAATAGCCAAAGGACTATTATGGTATTTACCTCCTGAAGTGGAAAATATTATAAAAGAATTTGGTGAATTTACAAGGTTAGTAGTGTTATTTTAAATTAAAAAGTAAAAGTAGATTTTAATTTAATATATGTTATATTTTGATTTTTTTTTTTTTTTTAGTGTTTTTTTTGCTGATGCTTTTGAAGGTCAAATAATTACATGTGTTGTAGTAATTATTTTTGTGGCTGCATTTTTGTTAAGAGAATGGATAATTCAGAATACACAACCAGAAGATAATTTACTAAATGAAGAGGATCCAGATCTTCTTGAAAATGAAATGGCACAACAACAAGGAAATAATGACAATGATAATTTAATAAACCAAGCTCATGCGATGATAGAAGATAGAGCAGCAATTCTTCAAAATAATGATGATGATGATGATGATGATGACAATGTTGCCAATTTGTTGATCAATGAAATAATAGAAAATAATAATTATGATCTTCATCATCATGTGATAAATGAAGATGAAAATAATAATGATGTTGAAGATTATGAAAGTAATAATCAAATAAACGAAGAGGGGTTAAGTGAATATTATGAAGATTCTGAGTTGAATAGAAATGTTGATGATGTGATTGATGAATATGAAAGGATTGAAAATTACAGAATTAATGAAAATGATGAGATAAACGCAATTGATGATAATAATGATGATGATGACAACAATGATGATGATGGTATAAATGATTATGATGGTGATGATGGTGATGGTGATAATTATTATGATGATTATGATGACGATGATGATGTTATAAACAATGATTATGATGATGGTATAAACAATGATTATGACAATGGTATTATAAATGAAGATGATGGTATTATAAATGAAGATGATGGTATTATAAATGAAGATAATGATATTATAAATGAAGATAATGATATTATAAATGAAAATGATGATATTACAAATGAAGATGATGATATTATAAATGAAAATGATGATGTTATAAATGAAAATGATGATATTATAAAGATATTATAAATGAAGATGATGATATTATAAATGAAAATGATGATGTTATAAAGATATTATAAATGAAGATGATGATGGTGTAAATAATAACTATAATGATGATATGAAAATATAAATAAACAGTCATACCCAGAACATCCAGTAAAATATATTCTTTTTAACATTGAAATAAAAATGATCTTGGACACATAATCAAAGTTTTTATTTAACTTTTACGAAACCTATGTATGGAGTAGCTAGACTATGAAGTTTGTTTACTTTTTTTAAACTTTTAGTGAAATCCTTCAGTTTTTACATTTTTTTGAAAATCATCCAACAGTACATGGAAAGTATTTGACCAGAATAGAATAAAATTTTATTACTTTTGATGTGAATTTAACTGCAAAAGAATTTCAAGTTTTTAAGTAAATTTTAGAATTTTACATATTTGTATTATAATACTTCTGGTTTTCATCTACTTTATTCAATTGATTTGATAGTGCTTCTTGGAATAAAAATACATAAATTATTATATTTTGTAAATTTGCAATTAAATATTATATTTCATAATTTATATACTAATCACAGATTAATTTATTCTATAATACACTTATAGATTCATTATCAGCTTGTAAAGTTTTTAAATGGAAAATAATGGAATTGTTAAGAATAAAAAAGAGGATGGCTACATTTGATATCTAAAGCTTGATATGATAGACTAGATGAATATATTAAGATTCATAAGAATTAGGTAAGTTATATATTTTAGCTCAGAACAATTATAATGACACATTGGGAAAAATCCCCAGATACATATTTTGAATTCTTGTTTAAGGATGATTATGATGGATTAGACAAGCAAACCAAACCATTGATATGGATAAAAAGTGCCAAATCCATGATGAAAAAGAAAGATTTGATGTTTACATACAAAATAATATATTTGACCATTTTAAAGGTAAAATTTTCTTTTTTTACATAGAAACCATTAAAGACACTTGCCATAAATGATTGGCTGGTATCTACCATTGCTGTAATAGCTATAGGTAACTACCATTTGCTTGTTATAAATGATTACAGCTGCCTCAAATAATTACGGCTGTCATAAATAGATATGGCTATTGCAAATAGCTACGGATACTGCGAATAGATATGACTTCCGCAAATAACTATGACTGCTGCAAATAGTTTTCAAGATTAATATAATTATTGTCATTAGTATTATTAGTCATATTAGTCATGAGAAAATTTCCCTGAATTATTTGTGACTAAATTTTTGAATTGTAATTGTTCATTTACAATGTGAAAATCTAATATATAGTAATCTTTGAAAACTTTACCCACTTTTTAAGATTTTCTTCGCCCATTTTTTCATATAAGAAAATTTATAATTTTACCCACTTAAACATATGACTTCATATAAAAATATGATAAACTTTATTTCTATACCAAAATTAAATTTTTAAATAATTGATTTTAATAATATGCATGGTAATTGTTTTGCCAAAAACGTAATTACGAAATTACGAAATTAATTACGCGTCACAAGAAATCAATAAGATTGGCTGAACTTTCTGATAGGACGTTTTATTTGGTTTGATTCAATTCAGTTTAATTTAAAAAATCATTACAAAAGTAAGTCACTTTTGACTAAGTGAAAAAAACATCTGGTTAATTAATATTTCAGAGCCTTGGTAATAAGTAGAGGCAGAAATATTTATTTATTATCATTAATTTAATTCACTTGTAAAAATAATTTCACACATAATAATAAAAAATAAATTCTTTTAAAAACACTTGTAGTTGGAAATTAAACAGTAGGGTTTAATTATCAATCTGGTTATCAGAACTCTGAGATTTTGTTTATTTATTTTGGTATAAAACAAAGTTTTTGATGTTGATTATTAATCAGTATGGTGTTAAACAACAGTTTGTATAGAAAATGATATTTCCCATAAATTCGTCGCGTAATAGTGGTAATTACCATCCCATGTATAAAAATAGTATTAGTATATTAATATTAATATTAATGTGGACTTATTTCATTGGTTTTGATTGGATGGTTACATTCTGATTGTAACCAAAAGATCATTATTATTTAATTGCTGTTATTTATGACACGTACTAACTTGGATAAAAATATTTTTTTTTAAAGTTAAATATTACTGATAAACATGGAATCAGAAGTAAATAAACGCCAAAAGACGCAAGATTCCCCAGAAAATGATACAATGAATGATGATATTACTACCACTGATGCAACAGCTAGTTCCTCCAAGTCTGACAAATTCGGTGTCGTCAAATTTAGAGCCAACTCTGATAGAATAGATTTATTTTATGGCGACAGTGGAATTTCTTTAACTTCAGTCGAAGATCTTCCAGTAAAAGAAAACATGAACACTGTTACTTTAGAAGATATAATTTCAAACGTAGAGAAAATTAATTATTTTATTATTATCTTTATTATGTTATTAATACTTATAAATTGTTTTCCCTACAAAAAAAATACTTTTTTTAGATGAATTTAAAGGAAATGCTCCAGATAAATTATATGATTGACCCAGAATTTTTAATGTCCAAATTACCATTTATCAAGCAAAAGACTATACCGACAACAATTGTTCATGGTCATAAAGACCTTATTCCAAAAGTGCGTGATTAATTAATTAATTATATAACTGATACATTGTGGTTTCGATTTCAAGATTTTTTTTTAAAAAAACGCATGTTTATTATTATTTGATTAGGATTTTATAAATGAATACAAAAACGTAAAAATTATAGATGCAACGATAGCAACTCAAGCTCATAATTATGGTTAGTGTTATAATATATATATATATGCACATATATGTAGCGTATTGATTATAATTATCTTTATGTTCTTGAATCCATAGGTGTTCATCACACTAAGGTAATCTCTAATAAATAATCATAAAATATAATAATAATAATGATGATGATGATGATGTTGATATTAATAATAATAATAATCGATTAATTAGGCAATGATTTTGTTTTATAATAATGATACGATGAGATTGTGTATACATACAGCAAATCTTATTCCAGCAGATTGGGGTCATATGACTCAGGCTGTATATATGACACCAATACTTTATAAAAAAAGTAATAGAGAGAATTCTTGTCAGTTTGAATCGGACTTGATCGATTATTTGAAAAGTTATGGAACAAAATTATTGCATTTTTGTGAAAAAATAAAACAATATGATTTTTCATCGGTTAAGGTAAAATATATTTTATATGGTGTCTTGAATATGAAAATAATCATAATATTTAAATTCATTATTACATTATATATTATAGGCGGTTTTGATTACTTCCGTGCCAGGTCGTCATAAAGAACAAGATTTAAACAAATACGGACATATGCGATTAAGAGCAATTCTAAGAGATAATGTTATATTGGAACCGGAATTTCATGAAAAAAGTCAAGTTGTCTGTCAGGTAAAAATAAAACAAAGAAATTATTTTTAAAATATACGGAAATTATCTATTAAATTTATTCATATGAGTATATATATGTATGTATGTGTGTGTGTGCGCAATAAAAAGACTTCAAGCATTGGTTCATTTGGCGTTAAATGTGACTGGTTGAAAAATGAGCTTAAAGAAAGTCTCAGCGCAGCAAAAAATCAATTAGACTGCATAGATCCAGAAATTAATTTAGTTTTTCCTACAGTGGAAAATGTTCGCGATAGGTATATAAATTTATTATATTTACATTATTATTATTATTATGTTTTTGATACTACATAATTATCATCATACATTATTGTTACTATTAGTCTTGATGGCTGGAATTCTGGCGGATCTATACCATTTAATAGTCAATATTATATCAAACAAAAAGACTATATGGACCCACTTCTTTGTAAATGGAAAGGCATGGATTCTGGAAGAGATCGTGCAATGCCACATATCAAGGCACATAGTAAAATTACTCATATAAATATTGTTGTTATTTTTAATCCGGTCTATAATTCAAATGTAATATTTGTCATAATTTTTTTTTTAAATAAAAATAGACCTATACTAGAATGAGAATTGAGCGACCATCTTTTACGGGGGAAGCATCAAATGCAAATATTGCATGGTTTTGTCTTACCAGCAGCAACCTATCTAAAGCTGCCTGGGGTGTTCTACAAAAGGAAAAAACTCAACTTTTCATTAGTAATTATGAAATGGGGGTTTTAATCTTTCCAGAACTATTCAATGTAAAGTATTAATTATTATGTTAATTTTTATTTTGGGTGTAAAAAACAACATTTTTATATATGTTTATATATATTTAAATAGACAGTTGATTATGATTCAGTGTATTTCTTGAACGCCACTATACACGACTTGAATCCGAAACTGCCTTTGTACATTAATGAACTTGTCAAAAAACCATTCGAATCATTACCATCTGAATCATTATCATCGAAAAAAAGAAAAAGGCTTCAAGCACATATACAAACTTTAATTGTTCCGATTCGTCTCCCATATGACGTGCCTTTGACTCCTTATGATTTTGAAAAAGGTGACGAGTGTTGGACTTGGGATAAGCCAAGATCAGAACTTGATTGGCTTGGAAATACTTGGAGGAAATAAAAATCATTAACATTAAATAAAATTGATGCGATCACATGATTTATACACGTGATTTGTTACTATGATATTCTCCATTTTATTTTCTCATTTTCCCATTCTTATTTTGCTTTTATAATATATTATAATAACTACATTAATAAAAAACGCGTTGTTACTCTTTTTTTTTGTCTTGTAAAGGAAAAGTGAAAGAACAATAATCACAATTATTTTAAAATAACCAAAAAAAAAAAAAATGATAGACCAAGAGTTAAAAAAATTACTTCAACAATATGAAGATCCTAATGAAGTAGAGGAACTCATTCTTGATAATAAGAAAATAATGAACCTTGCTAACATTACTACTACTGTTAATAATAGTAATAATAGTAGTAAAGATTTTACACCACTTAACGAGTTGATTAACCTTAGATCTCTTTCAATGAACAATACTCTCCTACACTCTATAGAAGGTTTTCCTACATTATCAAAACTTAGGAGGGTACAGTATCTATATAATAAAATATAAATATACAGATTATAATTCTTTTAAAAAATATATATACTTACATGTACTTATATAGCTTACAATGGCAGATAATAAAATTGCAAGTGGTTTAATAGCTTTATCACAGGCCAAACTTGAAAATTTAAATCATCTTGATTTGAGTAATAACAGAATAAATGAATATGCAGAACTTGAGCCATTGGTAAAATGCTTTGTTTCGTTTTCTTTCTTTATTTCTATATTAATTTTTTATTTTCTTTAAGAATAATGATTAATATTAATATACAAATTTATTAAATCAAGAAAAACTTAACAAATCTTAAACATTTGAGTTTAATTGATTGTCCAGTAACAAAAAGGACAAATTATCGAGTCAAAGTATTTGAAACCGTACCGCAACTTTATACACTTGATGCAAAGACTAAGTAAGTTATTAATAATAATATTAACACTATTTATTGTTTTGTGGAGCTTTGTTAAATAATAATGATGATTATGATACAACAATAATAATAAAGGGATGGAGTAATGATTGATTCTGAAGATGAAAGTGATGTAGATGAGGAAGATGAGGAAGATGATGTTGCGCAATCAAACGGTCATGCAGGTTAGATTAAACTGGTAAAAATGTTTGGATTTGTAAACCTTGAGACAAATTAATTGGGAATAATTTATCATTTTCTTTTTTGTTATAATAATATAATAATAATAATAATAATAATAATAATAATAAAAATAATGACAGATTCTGCTGATGAAGAGGAAGGTGATGATGATGAAGACGAATTAAGTGAATTGGAATCAAGTGGTTCTAATGTAGATGACGAAGGAGGATCTGAGTCTGAACAAGATAAAAATCAGGTAGAAAAAATCATTATGAGAACTAAATATTTGTATCATATTAATATCAAGCCATATATATATATATATAATGTATATCATACTAATGAATGAATTATTTATTTATATACAATATTTGTAGGGAGCTAGTGACGAAGAAGAGCCAGTAAATGTCAACTTAAATGTTGAAAGTGCAAGTAAACCAAAGGATAAAGGAAAATCAGTCGCATTTCCAGAAGATTTACCAACAAGAAGTTTTTCAGAGGATGAATCCGATGACGATGATGATGATGATGTTGATGTTGTTGATGATGAGATGGAAGGCGGTGTTAATTATTTTTTAAAAGATGTTAGTAATCAATTAATATATTGTCATTTTTTTATTAATTAATAATAACATGATACATATTATATATATGCACGTGTGTATTTACATATTTAAAATAGGTAATCTTTTCTGAAGGAGATACTGACGAGGAAGATTACCAACCTGATGAGGAGGATGAAGAAGACAACAGTGATGATTTATCAAATTGTAGTGATGATCTTGATCCGGTTGATATGCCTTCAACTAGTGCAGCTGCAGCTGCATTGCCATCATCAAAACGTAAAGTTCGTGTTGAAGAAAAGGAAGAAAGTGAGGTGGTGGTGGTGGTGGTGGACGAGGATGATGATGATGATGATGATGACGATGTGACAAAAGTATCTACAGATAACGATGGTAATAATAAGGGTAAATCGAAGAATGTCAAAAAACGAAAGATATAAGTCCTTTGAAATAATATTAAGAATAATAAATTGATTATATTAGTGAGTTAATAATAATGGGTTGGAAATTTTTTTTTGATATTATTATATTTCAAAAAATTTAATACTTATATTACATATACATATGCGTGTATATAGTATTACCACAAAAAAATTTTTTAATGTATGATAGCATTTACACAATGGAACATTACTATGGATGAATTTGTTTATTTATAGTTATTAAATGGTTGTTGAATTGATTGTAATATTTTATGGTTGATTTATCATAAATTATTTGACATTGACTATGGATCGTTACTGTTAATAATATTAAATTTAATTTAATAATTATATTCACATTACATTATACTTTTTATCATTATCATTAAATTTATTAGCATTGTAAAAAAAATAAGTTTAAATTTAAGGATACGGATGATTTATCAAATATGTAATTGAATTGATATGGTGATGGTTATTACTATTATTAAAATATACTTAATATACAAATACTGTTTTTACAACTTTAAAATAGCACTAAAACCTTTATATGATATCGTATTCATGAATATTCTTATTAATTAAGAAATTAAATTATTTACAAAATTGTCTTTTAATTATTCTGCTGCCACTAGTTGAACGTCTTTTGTATTATTTTCAGATGTTAACGTAACATTGGTTGTCGAGCTGTTTAAAATAGGATCAGTCATTGTGGTAGTTGTTAGTGGTGATGTTGCTTCTGGAGTAGAAGAGTTTGATGATACAACAAAAATTGAATTTGTTGTCAAGTTATGAGATTCTGAATGATTATTTTCTCTGAATTTTGTAATTTGTTTTAATCACATGTATATAAAATAAAAAATTAGTACTATTATTAACATGTAAAATATAAGTTGATTTTAAGGGACTGTTTTGAAAAACTTACTCGGCATTTAATGAGGCTAAATTATTATCGTCATTTTGTTCCTCGTGTTCCTGATGTTCCTCATGTTCTTCATGTTCTTCGTGTTCCTCATATATAACATCATTGGATGATTCTAAAGGTTCTTCTAATGTATCCTCATTCCAAAGTGGTAACCACCATCCACCTCTACTACCCTCTTCCGCTTTGATAAATCCACGAAAATTTACAAGTCTAGAAAGGGCTGTTTTATTTTCAAGTTGAGAGAAAAAGCCAGAAGATGGTAGAATACAAGATATATAACCAAATGAATCTTTTCAAAATATTTGGATCAAATGATTTTAGTGAAATGTTTCAATGATTAAAAATTGCAAGATATAATTATCAATCTTTTTTTGTTTTTTTACTTACAAAAATATCCCGAAAATAATCCACATAAAAAACTAACAAACCACATACGAGAGAACAAAATTACCATTATTAATAGTAACACTATTGGATAAAAGTGTGCTGGAACTTTAAAAAGTCCAAAAATACTGTAATAACAACAATTATTATTTGTTTATTTATGATTCAAAGGTATAATTATATCGAACTTGAAGCTTAAATTAATAATTACTCTCTCTCTTTTCCAGCTAATTCTCTACTTTCCCATACTACAACTCCAAATACCCAAGTGCTTAAACCTCCTACCATCATTGATTTATAATCAAAAATTAATGAGCCAATCAAATAGAACGAACCAGACATTATTGTAAATATGGTTATTAGAACATATAAATATTCTAAAGTTCCAATTGTATGCTCAATAGTTGTACTCAATGGTAAAAAGGCAAGCAAATTGAAGAGGATATGACCAAGAGAAAAATGCGGTAATGGATAAGTGAAAAGACGCCATACTATTTTATTGATTTAATAAAAAAACCACGCACATATCAAGTAGTTTTTAGCCAAATTTTGTATATTTATTTATTGGGATTTATTTTTATGAGTTATTCTTTAAATCAAACCTACTTTGTCCTTCAAAGAAACTTTCAGGTTCCAAAGCTAAGGCATTATATATTATGTTACTGCCAGTAGCATCAATTATATAAAAAATTATAGAAATACAAGCGATTATGGTTGTTAAAAGTGGTAAAGACAATATATAAGATTTAAAACTGGAGGTAACCGTTGAAAATGAAGGTATGTTTCTTTGAACTTGTGACATATTGACAAAGATCGCGTAAATTAAAATTTTTTTTTTAAATAAATTAAAAATTACAGAACAATTTTAAATTTAAAAAGTTCAAGATCACCTGAATAGTTATTTAGGAATTTTCGCAGGGCAAATTCAAAAATCGATAGTGGTTTTTAAAAATTTTTAATGATAATCAGTTAAATTTTCAATAATTCAAGAATTAAAAAAAACCATCATTGCAAAAAATGGATATAAATGAAGATATAGTATCGCAGTTGAAAAAAGAAGAAGCAATAAGAAAATTAATAGATTTGGTAGTGATGTAATTAATTTTGTTTAATTATATTTATGTTTGTATACACACTAATTCAGAATCACTTTTTTTTTTGTAACTTTAGGTCAATGACACTAAGGACCTTCCATTATATATTAATTTAATTAAGCTTGACGGGGTAAAAAAAACACGTAGAAACTTCTTAGAACAAATTTTCAACCCTATACTTAAAGCTAGGACACTTGGTTCAATTATTGATGAAATTCATATATCCATTGACAAGTTATACCGTCTTGATATTTTCAATAATTTTGATGTATTACTTGATACAAGTAACGACCCATTAGCCCAGAAAGATGCAATTGATGTTTTATTGTCAGTAAAGGAAAATAAAAGATTTTTTATAAAAACTGGCACAGAAATTGGAAATGATTCTGGAAGTGCGGTAAAACCTTTTTTTTCTTTTTTTCCGATGACATGATCAAATTTTCTTATTGTAGTGATGAGATATTCATAAAATTTTAGCATATGATTAAGGAAGCTTTTACTTTTCTAAATTTTGTAGAATTTGTCATTGACTGTACGTAATCTTTTTGGTGGCGCCGAAACATTGGAAGCATATATGGCAACTAGTACTCAAACTTCACATATATTCCAAGTGAGAATCTTATATATATATATATATATATATAATAAACGTAATATTTGTATCATATAATTTTTGTTCACATATTATTTAGTTTTGTTTAGCAACACCGATCAATGGAAATCCAGATTCCAAAATCGACATTTCGGCGTTTAGAATGACAAAAAGTAATCAATCATACAGTTCTCATGATGAAATCTTAAAAGGTTCTGCATTAAGATGGAGAGTAGGTTTATCATAATTCTTCAATTTTTTTAAATATAATAACTTATGTATATATATTGCTTTGACAATAATAATAATATCTGTCCTTTTAAACTTTAGGGAATATCAAAATTAGGATTTCATGAGTTAAATTATGGTTTTATTTGGAGACAAATTTGCAATATTAATAATGATGCAACACTAAGGTATTTGATTTATTATTAAGATCTTTTGCGCATTTACTCTAATCAAATTAATTGCTTTAATATTTATAGTATACGCGAATCTGCAGGTCATTCGCTAAAATCGTCCATAAGTCATACTTTTATTTATGATAGTCGTGATGATATAATGCTACCATCTACTGGCTATTACTTAAAATTATTTCAGGTATTTTTACGTTAACTTATAAAATAAAATACAAAGTTGCTTGATAATCTCACGCACACACACACATATATAATATAGGAAGTTGCTGGATTTGGGGGAGATGTAAACTTTATTAAAAATGAAATAGAAAATCAAATTAATTATCCACTTGGGAAAGGCTTTGTATGGTTTATATGACAATTTTCTTTGTTATATAATAAATATAATAATAAATTTTTTTTTTGATAAAATCTCAGATTTTTAGTGCTTCATTAAGAAATGGAATTTTATACCCATTAAAAGACAAATCAAAGATCAGTGATAGATTTTTCCTTGGAGGTGCACAATCTGTAAGAGGATTTAGTTTAAATGGTCTTGGTCCAAGAGAAGATAAAAGTACGAAATAATTAATTTATAAAGAGTTAGATTAATATTGATTATTTAGATTGATAGGTTGATTGATTGACAAACTGACTTTATTTTATAAAATATTCCAGAGGATTCTTTAGGTGGTGATGTTTATTTAGCGGGCGGGGTTAGTTTATTCACTCCATTACCAAAGTTAAGGAAGTATCCTGTTAAAGGTCATTTATTCATAAATGGAGGAAGTTTAATAGAATTTGATCCTCGTAAGTATATATGCTTGTATCTTATTAGTATAAAAAGATATTTATTTATGTTATATGTATAAAAAACTTTTTTTTAGGTAGAAATTTTCTCAACAATTTCAATAATCTGACAAAAACACCTAGTATATCTGGTGGCATAGGTATTGCATACAGAAATAGCATTTTAAGATTTGAAATAAATTTTTGTTTGCCGTTAATTGCAACAGCCTCTGATAAATTAAAAAGGTTTCAGTTAGGTTTAGGAATAAATTTCTGGTGAAAGATAGAAAATAATTAAACTATTATTTATTATTCTGTAATAAAGTACAATTACACTTTTTATGGAATCTTTTTTCATTGTTTTCAATAACCTTGTTGGGCAATTGATTTTGTCAGTACTTGAAATAGTTTAGCAAAATATTGTTTGTAAAATATGGAAAAAATAAAATAAAGGCAGTAATTATAGATCCATGAATGATATTGTATAAAGTTTTTTGATTTTTAGTTTCATTGATTCCTTTTAAATATGCGATTTTATGCTGTACTATCATTGCCTAGAACTCAAACCATCTAAAGTTCTTTGCAAATTTGGGCCCATACTTTCCGTATGTGAAATGAAATTGCCCATTTTTCAATGTCTTAAATGAAAGTTGTTATTAATAAAGCACAAACATCAGATAATTTTTTAAAAATAAGTAGTTCGGTAAAAGCTGTAACCCAAGATGTATACGCACCAAGATATATCCAATGTTTGAAGAAATTATAAATGATACAACAACTATTAAACGGCGAGCAAAAATAATTGTATATGACCAAAACCTGCAAGTATACAATATTGCGGGCCATATCACATATGGTTGGCTCGGTCTAAAGACCTCCTATTGCTGCGCCATATCCTCAAATTTCAAAAATGGCGATTTCGTGATTTGTTCAAAAATGCTGAAACTCCTCTCACATTCTAATGTTATTGAAGATTTTGATTTCTTGCCATCAATTTCGCCAAGGTTTTTTAATTCTCTTAACCCAAAGGATGCATTTTCTAATGTTGAGTAACATTAAATTGATAGATAGGTGTTTAAGCATTAAAATTTGAGTTTAGGATATTGGTCACTACTTGTATATTACAATCAGTGCTTGATATAAGGAAGAATTGATTTTTGACAAAAAAACTTCACTATATTAAATTGTTTCAATTGAAAACCATCTGTAGAATACTCATACAGAGAGAATATTTTAATTTTCTATATTTTTTTTAAAGTTGTAATAGAG